ATGGCACAAAAGTTGGACTTGATGGACACCTCATGTACCAAGTCCCAGGGATGCTTGGACACATACTCTATATTATGGCACTGAAGTTTTTGAAGCCCTGAGCTTCATATTCTATCACAGCATGAAGTTACCTGCCTGTCTGTAAACTTTTGCTATCTCATTATATCACTGTACAATTTGTATCCCACTGAAAATTTCCTGTCCATATTTACATTCTTATTCAATTTCCTGGCTGTGTTTCCTGGAAAAATTTGATATACAGCCTGATTTTCTACAGCATTAACATGTGGCAATAGGATCTTCATGAAACCCTCACAGGCAACTGCACTCTGCCCCAAATGGCAGGTAATTGTTATAATTACTCAGTTTTATTATGTATTCTTTCAAGATTTTATTTATTTGTGTGAGAGAGAGCGAGAGAGATCACGCATAGGTAGGGGGAGAAGGAGAGAGAGGAGAGGGAGAAGAATCCCTACTGAGCAGGAAGCCCAATGTGGGACTCTATCCCAGGACCCAGGGATCATGACCTGAGTGGAAGGCAGACACTTAACTGACTGAGTCAGTCAGGCTCCCACCATTACTGAGCTTTCATATACCAGTATCATTTTAGATGCCAAGTTACCTAATGTACTCCCTACAACAACTTCATGTGTAAAGCTTTATTATTCCCATTTCAAATATGAGAAAATGTTTTGAAAAGCTAAATAATATCCAGTCTCTCATGGGACCATTCAGGGATAGCTCTGAAACATAAACACAGGCCTCTTTCATGCCAAAAACTGGTTTCTTAAACACTTTGGTAGAGTGATTTTTTGCACTCAAGGATGGCTCCAAATTTCTTTTTCAGGGATATCACCACCTGGGTACTTTCCCTTATTCCCTTAACCTTGGTATCTCCATAAAAAAACATGTCATTCCCCCAAAAGATCATATTCTAAACTGGTCTTTGTGTCAACAATATACTGGTAAGTGTTAAGGATAAACACATTTAGCTAGTGGGGTAGGAGTGGGGAAGCACAGAAAAGAAAAATCACATCTGACCTTTCTGTTCCCAAACAGATAGTCTACAAGTATAATTCTAAAAGTATTGAGAGGGACTTACTTTATTCTGGTAGTCTATCTAGAAGAACTTACTTTATTCTGGAAGTATCTAGAAGGACATCAGTATGTGTAGCTAGCACTATATCCCTAACAAAATCTAGGTCTACTATGAAACAGCATAGTATCTTTCAGAATTTGTGTTGTTCAGGTTGTTTCTATAAGAATTCAGACACATCTATCTCCAAGTTAAATTACCAAGAGTACACAGCTTAATAGTAATATTTTTTTTTCATCATTCTTCCTGCCATGACTTTTTACCATCTTGGCTTTTCAGAACTCACTGCTATTCCCTGACTGCAGAAATCTGCTCTCTCCAACTAGTATGGGACCCACTCCTCATCTTCAAAGTTGTCTGGCCAGGTGACTAACTCATTGAACGTCTACTTGAAGTTACTATATAATAAATACCTCATTATGGCTAAAGAGGCTATGTAAAAAGATACTGAGAAACAAGTTGGCATTTTAATTTGTGCCCAAATCCTAGAAGCATTTTAAGACTTTCTTATTCTTTAGCAGAACCCAGTCATAGAGGGAGATCTACAAGGTGGGCTGCTGTCTGCAGTCCTCAGAACATCCACGGTCTATGCTGTCTAGAGCCAAACTGTCTGCAATGCCAGACTTCTTAGCCTGCTTCCTCATCAGGGTATTTCTTTCCAATGTGACTATTCTTTCTATTTTCAGAATCTCATTCCCAAAGCATCTTTTGCTTTTATCATCTACATCCTTAAGCTTATCAACACTTCCTCTCCCATCCACTCTTTTCCATCATTAAAACTTATTTTCTCACAATGGTTTCAAGAACTCTTATCAATACAATAAGATTGGTCCCATCTCTCCATCTCTTCCCTCTAGTCTAGCAAATCTCAGCATGCTTTTTCTCTGATTATTCCATTCCCAAGTTGACTCTTCAACAATGTGTGTGGTTAGTATTGGCAACCCCCTGCACAGTCAAAAGTCCACCTGTGACTTTTGACTCCCCCAAAACTTTACAAATAGCCTACTGATGCAAGGAGGCCTTACCAGTGACATATTAATGAACACATATTTTGTATGCTATAGGCATTACATACTGTATTCTACAAAGTATTCTAAAGAAAATGTTAAGAAAGTTGTAAGAGAACACATTTATAGTACTGTATTTATGGAAAACAGTCCATTTAAGTGGACCCATTCAGTCCCAACCCATGTTGTTCAAAGGTCAGCTGTTTCTAAAGGTCAAAATTTTTAAACAGTAATTTGTGAATACTTCCAGAGCAGAATGCAGGATTCACTGGATTTGGGGAAAGGTGGTACAAAAAAAAAAAAACAAACATGACCACCCATGTACTCATACCCAGTAACAGGAATAAGAGACACAATGAGGGTAGTAATATTTATCTCCACTCAATACGGCACATCTTACAACTGCTAAAGTGGTAAGGAAGAAAAGAGAGCAGAGACAGTATTCAAATAATTCTGGGTCACAGAATTTAGTAAATGTGATCAGATATTCTACATGGAATGAATGAGATATTTTTTGAAGATAATGATTTTGATCATGAGCTTATTTTTATGAACCTGAATTCTTGATGATCAACATGAAAATGTCACTACAGATAGAACAGTGTTGTTAAAACATGGAAAGTGTGGGGTTGGCCTTATAACAATCCTAATGGCCACAAAACGATCCATCCTACCTTCTCGACTCTACAGAATACAAAATGTCAGAAGGAACCAAAAAACTTCTATCATTAATCATGTAGATACTTCTAGTGTACCTGGATGTTTGTCATACAAATTATCCAGATGTCAAACTCATTTTTTTTCAGTTTCCTCTTGAGAATTTTGTTTTACCCAGTCTAGTCAACATTGAAATATTTTTTCCTCCCTCCCTTCAATATTATAAAGATCGTATTTTTTTTAAAGATTTTATTTATTTACTTGACAGAGACACAGGGAGAGAGGGAACAGAAGCATGGGGAGTGGGAAAGGGAGAAGCAGGCTTTCTGCTGACCAGCGAGCCTGATGAGGGGGTCAATCCCAGGACCCTGGGATGATGAGCTGAGCCAAAGGCAGATGCTTAATGACTGAGCCATCCAGGTGTCCCTAAAGATTGTATTTCTGAAAACACTGTTGCTATATACCATGGCATTGAGAATATAGTTCATGTGGAATTGTAATTTACTGAGTTGTTTATCTAATTATCTAACATTGATTTTGCATCATTATTTTTTCTCATACCTCTCTTCCTATCTTATCTCTCCTTCACAAAAACACTTTGAGGAAAAGCCACCTTAATACCATTCCTGATGTTTTTAGGACCATGGTTTGCATGCATTATTCCTCATTAATAGGTGTTTGTCAAATGGTTCAATCTACCATATTTGGATGGCCAATATTCAAAGACTCATACTGCAAAGATAAACTAAGCAACAGTATACCTAACATGAGTGCATTGTCTAGATCATTCTAGACAATTCTAGATCATTATCTAGAACAGTTTAGAATAACATTTTGGGGTTTTGTGGTATTTCAAGGTCATCGCTACAAATGATAAAGGTTACTGAAGTATGAAATTGGGTATTGCTATATAATATAGGAGTAGGTGATAAGATGGTAGAACATGTCACATGCTTCTGTAACCACCACCACCCCCACCCCTAGTTCCAGTATGCTTAGGGTAAAGACCAAATTCCATGTATGTCCCCACACATGGCTTATTCCTTATCCACATCTCTACACTAGCAGCCTTAGTGGACATATTCATCCTATTCACTGTACTTCAGTCAAGTAATGCTGCTTATTCTGTCCATAGAGGTATCATAATTTCTCCTGCCTCAAGCCTTTTGCCATGTTATTCCTCCACGAGAAATTCTCCTATCTGTCCTTCCCTCTACCTAACTAGCCGGTGCCTACTTCTTCCTCAAGGAGGTCTTTTGAGACAGCTTCTGCCTTCAGTATAAGTGAAATTTCTTGGCTATATGCCCATATAGCCCTCAGAACACTTATTACAGTTTATAATTATGTATTCATGGGGAGCTCACAGGAATAATGTCGATTTTCTACCACTGTCCTCTGAGTATTATGAAAGCTAGGTCTTTACCTGGCTTGCTTACCATCAGAGCATGGTGCCTAGTATTGTGTAGAAGGAGTTGCTCAATAAATATTTGTGAATACACCAGTGAATGTTTATCCTCCGACTACTTCATATATGTACATACATATGCATAGCATACACACATGTTTTTTAATTTGGAATTATTATGCAAGTTTACCTATAAGGCTGCTTATGGTTTTTTGTTTGTTTGGGTTTTGTTTATTTTTTAGGTAAACTCTAAGCCCAACATGGGGCTCAAACTCATGACCCCAATATCAAGAATCACAAGCTCTATTGACTGAACAAGCCAGGTGCGCCCTTAAGTATTTTTAAGCATATTTTATATAGCAGCAGACACATTAACTTGGATATTATGGAAATTATTGAAACTCACATCACTCTAAACCCAAGTATTTTGTTTCTTTAATCAAACACACAGTACGGTCCATGATAACAGTTAAATCCGGTGCTGAGAGGGATTTGCTGGATTTTTGTCTATGTGAAAATGACTTCATACTCCTGGCTAAAACGTGAACTAATATTTATCACTGAGAGCATTCAAAGCAACATGACCCTTTTGAATTCCAAGAATCAATGAAAATGTCAATTACTGTTAGATGGACAGGCAGAAAAGAATACAATTTTGTCCGTTCTACTCTTGTCCTGCAGGACTTATGCTCCTGCTCCATTTTCTGAACAATCTAGTAAAATTCAATTTACTTTTTCAATTTGTCTCCAGCCAAGCTTCCTTCTGTCAGCTATGCAGACATTTCAATGCTGGCCACGTAGAGTACCAGGAGAAGAACAACTGGAATGAAATTACCTGTGCATTTGCGATCTGTGTCTTCTTTCTTTGACCCACTAATCGTCAACTTGCAGTTGAAGTTTTCCTCCCAGTATTCAGCAAACCATACATTTCTTCTGTTGTTTTCAAGTGTGCGGGACGTAAAATAGGCATCAAACCCTAAATAGAGTTAAATGAAAAAGTCATTGCTTGTGGGGCACTGCTGGGACATTTAGAAATAAAAATACCAGTGATGGTTTTTCTTTGTTTTAGTAGACTGTATGCTCTTTCATGTCAATTAAAAAAAAAAAAAAAAGAAGAAGAAGAAGAAGAAGAAAAATATTCCAGGACTAACCTATGGCTAAGTCCCTATTTCAGTCTGTCAGGCAGAGATGTGACCTCCAAATGACACAGTCACAATGACCTTAGAGAGGACATGATGATCACAATAGGTCTTGCATCTCCAGTGATGCTAGACCAGGGACAAAATGTCTTCTTCCTTCTCACCAAGATAATTGATAATTTCAGTGCTTACTATAGATAAGATTTTCTGTTTCACATAGATTCTTTTATTCACCTCAACAACCAATATAGCAAACACTATAATTCCCACTTCGCCAATAAGGAAATGAGGCTCAGATGAAATAGAAACATGCCCAAAGTCAACCACTAGGCCATGCAGTATCTGGGACTATGTGAGCTACTGACCTGTGAATATCCTTTTAACACCTTCCTTTCATTTAATAATGCTCCATGTGTCATTGATATCCTAATCAAAATGGAAGCTTTTGAAAAGGCCAGAAGTAAATAGGAGTCTAACAGAAAGCTCAGTGCTGCTCACTGAGTGCAGTGGTGTATGTGAAGAGCAGAAACTCGAAAGGCCAGGTCCCCAGGAAATCTCTTGCTACCTCTTTAGGAATGCAGCCTCAAATGCTCCAATGGAGCCACAAGGTCTTGGGAGAATCAGATAGGATTCAGTAATACGAGGTGGGCTGGGGGGCCAGCTCCACTCACTTCCTAAGTAAGTCAGGGGAACTTGAGCAAGTGCACGCTTCCCTCATCATCCTTTCATCTTTCTGTAGAAATGAAAACTATCCTACCTCCTTCCTTCTCAGTACCTTGTTTGGGATGGGGAGAAGACCTTGGAAACTTACAGAGTTCAGGATCAAGAACAACAGGAGATGGACTTGAGAAAACTGAGTAACTGTTATTTAAATTACTCAGTTTTCTCATTTTAAGGCCATTTAAAAAAAAATAGCTCTAGACTCTCAACTCCATAATAGGACCATATCAGGTTAACTATATTCATTACTAAGTGGCCAACACCAAATTCATGGCCTGACATATATGAAACCTACTATAAATGGAAAATCTAAAGTAAATGAGACAGTAAAACAAACAAACATAAAGCACAAGAGATTATATAATATTTTAGAGAAAATAGAGTATTTTGCATCTCTTATTTCATTTTCCAGGATCTTATCAGTACATGCTGGCCAACTGTCCTTTTATCCCACTACCTTAAATTATTTGAAAGTAATCTGGCTAGAGTATGTGATTCCATTCCATTATCAATACTGATTAAGCTACCTGGCTGGAAGTCTTCCTGCCTCACTGTTCTCCCACAGCCCTGCCTCCAGAGGACTATAAAGTAGAACACAATATTCTTCAACAAAGGAAAATCTCTGGGGGAAATACATGAGTCCCCGATGTTTCCCAAGACACTAAATGTATGCCTTCAGTCATATATATACATACACACGTGAACACATGGTGACTGGTGACAGAGTTTTCATTTCTTTCACCATTTTGCCCTGTGTTCCCTCCTCCCACCTCCCCCACCCCAAAACCCAATTAATCAAGAGTGGTAGATTATGACAATGACCCCTGACTAGACCTGCTTCCAGGGCTTCATACCCATACACACCTTCCCTTTTCTGTGGGACATAGGTGTGATGCAGGCAGAGGCTGGGAAGCCCTGGCCCCATTGTGGCTTGTTGTTGTGGAATTCTCTTTCTTGGAATCCAGCTGGCCATGCTCTAAGACATTTGACAGAAGGATGGTAGGTCATGTGGCAAAAGCCCAGCTTGTCTCAGCCGAACTTCTTTGGAGATTGCAGCCCTCCAGCAGACCAGCTCCAGTTGCACAATGGAGGCTGTTCATCAAGCCAGTAACACTGGAGCTAGTTTTTTAAGTAGCTAGATGACTGAAACTCTCCTTCTTTATCACAGCACCATAATTCTCTCTGTGCAATACTGAAACAACACACCCTTCACGAAGAAGCACCCTCAACAGAACATGTCCAAGTTTCAAAAGTAAACTCTTCTGCCACATGTCACAGGTCTAAATCCCCAACCAGCCTCAGAACAGGAACTACTAAAATGGCTCAGATTGTAGCAAGGGTATATCCCTTTCCCAGCTCAGAAAAAAACCATCTTTAAAGGAAACCTCATCACTGAAAATGTCTGCCGCTTCAAAATGCTTCTCTCCATCCTGTGTCTGCTGGAAATGCAAAAGCCCATTGAGGAAGGAAGGATTGTATTGTGGCTAACGTGCAGGTAGGGGACTGTGGAACATTTAAAACAGAAGAAAAAGAAAACAAAGCAGCAGTCAGAACTTCCCTCTCATCTGAGCAAGAACAAACAGATTTCGGGGAAAAAAGCAAGCACCATTAAAGCTGTCTGTATGCACTACAGCACAACACAGAAAAGGAGCGGAAACCCTGAGCCACAACCCCTCTCCTTTTCACTCACACAAATAGCTGGTGCTTAGCTTCCTCCTCTTCCTCCTCCCTGTGAGTCCTCCAGCTACCTGCATCTCTAAGTTGAAAACTGTTCTTGCTTCCCAAATGCATGTATATATGGACTTCCGGAGTATCTCCTCAGATGTAGATTTGGGTGGAGGAGGTCTTGGGTAGGGCTAAATACACTGCATTTTTAACAAGCCCCAGGTGATGCTCATGCTGCCTACACTTTAAGAAGCAGGGCTCCAGGGCAAATCCTGCGTTTTAATAAGCTCCTCGTGATTCTCATACTGCCCGTACTTTGAGAAGCAGGATTCTAGAACAAATCCTGACTTCAGCAGATGGGACTTGAGCAGTTCCAGCCTAATTTGTGAGATCTTAGTATTTTCACCCTCAAATATATGTCTGGTTCAGATGAGAGGGTCTTTGCTTTGCTTCTATAGTTGCAACATTTGCTCAGTACCCAGCTCAGTATGGCAGGAGCTTTGCCTTACCATCTTATAGCCTACAGATGGCCTGGGGAGGTAGAACATGCTGTCTTAATTGCTGGTGAATTTTCCTGGTGTGCTCACTGTGCTATATATCCCTAAGAATTGCTTTTCTGGGCCCCTTTGCAGCCTCCAAAGTTGTTCCTCACCTGTATGCCCTGTCACCACTCTGGGCTCTCCAGCCTGGCATTTCAATCTAGCTGCATGTCTTAGTGTTGCTGAAAAGATAACCTGAACTAGCCCTGTGTCTTCACTACCTCCTCTGAAGGTCCTATGGGCTCTGAGGGGAAAATTCAGAGCTCTCAGTCAAGTAGTAGAATGTAGCATACATTTGCTTTTGAGTGGTATCCTGAAGACCTCAAAAGTTTGGCTTTTTTGGTACAGAAGCCACATAGTGTATTGGTGAATATAGACATCAGAGACACACTGTGTGGGTCTGACTCTAACATTCTGATTTTCTACCTGTATGACCTTGAGCAGATGACTCAGCTATTTTGTGTCTCAGTTTCCTCATCTGTAGAAGGGGATTAATATTAATATCCACCTGGGGTGCCTGGGGGCTCAAGTAGATTAAGCCGCTGCCTTCGGCTCAGGTCATGATCCCAGGGTTCTGGGATCGAGTCCCACATCAGGCTCCTTGCTTGGCAGGGAGCCTGCTTCTCTCTCTGCCTCTGCCTGCCACTCTGCCTGCTTGTGTGCTCTCTCATGTGCACTCTCTCTCTCTCTGACAAATAAGCCCTTTAAAAAAATATTAATATCCAACTTCATATTGTTAGAAGGATTAAATGAGCCATTATTTGTAAAGTACTCAGCATTGTGCCTGATGAAGTAAAATGCAAACTGTTGGTTATAAAATAACCATAGTCATTCATTAAATATTTCTTGAACACTTACCTGTGACAGGCACTATTCTCTACACTGACTAATCTTGGGTTAAAACAGGTGGCCCCTCATCAGGCTGATGGCTAGCCTGGTGGGGAAGATAGATTTTGGCAAGTATCATATCAAAATAAAATTACAACTGTGATTATTTTTATGAAGGAAGAGTACATAGTTTTTGGGGAGCACACACACATGCCCAGAGAGAGCGAGAACTCTCTTGGAGTGCCAGAGAGGGCTTCCTGGAGGGAGTAAACACAGGTGAGAAAAGGCAAAAAACAGATTTTAACCAGAAATGTGGGAAGCAAAGAGACTGGACATTTATTCAGTGGAACGCCATGTGCTTTGTCTTAAGAATATTGAAGTCATTTAGCATTACAAAATTCCTCAGGACAACCAGGCCTTAAAATCAACAAATATAAAGAAACCATCTCCCATGTGTATGCAATCAAAATTTCTACTAACATTCTAATAAACCAATGGCTTAAATATTAATGAATAAATATATGAATAAGCTATTCTTGTGAGTGGATGTCAAAATCTTTGTCAGATTTCAATTTGGTCATACAAAAAATTGCACTGACTGTTACAATACAAAGGTAATAAGCACTTCATCTTCATTTTCTCAATGAGTGTCACATAAATCCTAAGAAGTAGGTACTAATCATATCAACAGTTTTGAGGTAGAAACTAAAGCTCAGAGAAATTTGGACCCAAATCAGTTTGCTTCTAGACCCTTGTTTTTGATATCCATGCAGAGTGGTGTTTCACACATTTTGGTGGGAATCACAATCATCTGGAGAGTTAATGAAGAAAATAGAGATCATGGAGGCAGGTCAGCCCTGTTTCTTTCCCCCTCAAGTTCCCCCAGGAGATTCTCGTATTCCAAAGATTGAAAACCATGCCTATGGTGCATTGCTGGGGTCGACTTATTATGCTACCTCTTCACTCTCTCTAATGGATGCCCAATCACCAAGCTACTACATCAAACACAAATCCACTAGGCAACTAGACAGTTCAACAGGTGGAAGAACAAAGCTATTCTATGATCAGGGGCTGGAATGGGTGAG